TCATTCCAAGAAGCTCACTTCAGCGTGCTTCATCAGTTTGCTATCGTCGAGCCGTACATCGATCAACATATCGAACTAATACGAGCTAACAATAAGGGTCGCTCCACCGAGTGGATAATGAAAGAACACAAGCGTCTCTTCATAGATTGGTTGCGAGACCTAGACTTACCTGAGGGAGAAACTACCGATGAAATAACTATGAAGCGGTTGGCTTGTGGTCCATCAACTACAGTAAATTCTTGGCAGGGATATGACATTAATGGATATTCGTTTAGCACAAGAGCCCGAGATAATAAGACCTGTACACAAAACAGCGGTGTCCGTGTGGAGGCAATTGATGAAGCCGGTGAAAAACAATCATACTTCGGGTTTATTGAAGAAATATGGGAAATTGACTATGGGCACACAATGCAATTCCCCATATTTAAGTGCCAGTGGGTAAAATACCCGAACAGGGTAAATGTTGATAAGTTCGGTCTTACTGTTGTTGACCTTGCGAGAGTGGGTCACAAGGATGATCCTTGGGTACTCGCCAATCGCGTGGCACAAGTGTTTTATGTGAAAGACCCTTCAAATTTGAAGAAAGATATAGTGCTACCAGGGAAACAAAAGATATTGGGAGTGGATGGGGTTGAAGATGTCGAAGATTACAACCAATATGATAGTATGCCACTTTATAGTCAGTTTGTACAGAAGATTAAGAATGTCGAGACATCTACTCAGAAGACCGTGAAGCCTTACATGCGCACGGACGGTGTGGGCAAAAATGTTAAAGGGTAATGATTGTTGAGTGGCATATAAACATCTAAGAAGTTAGTAGTTATGTAATGGTCGTATGTGTGATCGTATCGCAAATTGACGAACAATTGTACTCAACATTTTGCATATTAATTTCTAAGTACTAATTTTTATGTGCAATTACCATTTGAATTGTGAAAATTTAGTTAAAAAAATTTAAAGTTAGTAATATTTGAAAAGTGTAAATATTTTTATGTGCAATTACTAGTTTGTTGAAAAGATCTTCGCAGGCGGACCGCCCGCTTGCGAAGATCTTTGCCCTATATAAGGGCAAGCCCGCGGCGCCAAAATTTCTAAGTCCAGGCGGGAACCCTAAAAAATTTGGCGCCGTCAGGCTGCCGAAATTTTTCACCGCCGCACGCCTCCGCCGTCCTCCGCCGCCGCCCCGCCTGCGACCTTCGCTCTCCGACCGTCGTCCTCCGCCGCAGCCGACCGTCGTCGTCCACCACGCTCCACCGAGGCAGCCCCGTCGCCGGCTCATCCACCGCCACCGCCACCGTCGAGCTCATCCACCGCTGCCGGCTCATCCACCGCCACCGTCGAGCTCGCTCTCCTCCGCCATCGGCTCCTCCACCGCCGCCGGCCCCTCCACCGCGCGCACGGCCACCGCCGCCGTTGGCCCCTCCACCACCGTTGCCCACCCCTCCGCTCGCGGCTGAACGGCTTCATCGGCCGATCGTCGTCCACGAGCGAATACGTCCTCGGCCGCGAACGACGTCTTCGGCCGGTCGTCGTCCACGGCCGAACCTCGTCGTAGGCCGTTCGTCGTCCATGGCCGAACCTCGTCGCCGGCCCTTCCTTCGTTGTCCACGACCGAAGCTCGTCGTCGACCGTTCGTCCATGATTTCTACGGTCGAAGCACATGATTTTGCTTCGCCCCGAAACCAAAGAAACTGAGCCAGATTACCCCTTCGATGACCTCAAGGAGAATACACCCTGCAGATTGGACGTTCCCATTGGACGCTCCGGTAAAACTCTTGAGGCCGCTACAGCCATTGCTATCCCTGGTAGAACATACAATGAACAGTTCTTACCCGATGCGTATGCCAAGGTGCAGCCACAAGTGGTCCACGAAGGGTTTGAGTCCTACGACATTGACTACCCGACTGCAGATGGTATATCCGTACTTGGGGATGCGGTCGATCTTGTAATTCTCTGGCATAAGAATGACATATTCTTTGGATTGGGCACCGACGCCGGGGAAAAACCTGTGTTGCCTAAACCGGGTTTGGGAAAACCTCCGAGGCCTCCTAAGAGGAAGGTGACTGATAAGGCGGATGATCCTGAACTTGGTAAGGAAAATCCAGTGCCGGAAGTGCCACCGGAGATTGCATTGCCGGAGACAGCCATGGAGACTGCACCGCCGGAGACAGCCATGGAGATTGCACCGCCGGAGACAGCCATGGAGATTCAAGTGCCGGATGTGCCCATAGAGATTACAGTGGCAGAACCAGAGGTGGAATTTGTGGCATCAGTCGGGTCAGTCAAAGATGAAGTACCAGGATTGGAATGGGATGGTACAGAGCCAGAGATATTTGAAGACCCTTCTCCTGCGAAAGAACCCGAGGTGCCACGAGTGATTAGGAGCCACGAATCCAAGTCCAAAGATGCGAACAAGGAGAAGTTCATGCTAACCGTCTTCAGAGGGGGTAAGGAACGTGCCAAGCTCAGAGATGACGACCCCCAGAAGGCTTCTGTGCTAGCCGGGCCAACATACTTCGCAACCGATGATTGCCCGGAAAAGTACGAACATGGGAAAGCACTCTTGCCGGAATGGGCACTGAAAGAAGCACCATGGGAGATGAGAAGGTTACATAACTTCTACATGGAGGCCAGCAAGAAAGGCTTGGGCAATATAATAGCTCGATCACCGGCAGATTGTTTCGGCGAAGAAGGTTACGTATGGCTAGATTTCTCAGATCTCCACGCCATATATCGTCGGGATAAGATGGACGTCAACTATGTCGGTGTTTGGTGCATGTGAGTACGAATTTTAATTAATTAGATAAAAAATATGTACAATACAACTCCATGTGATTGCTACTAACAAACTTCTTATGTAGGATGCAATACATGGATGCTAAGAAGAAAAAAGAACCCATCGGCTTCTTGGATCCAACTCAGATCTGCCAAACACAGCATACCGTTACGCTAGATCCAGGGTCAGACCAGCTGAAGGGCAAGAATCCGAAAGAGATAGCAGAATACAAGAAGGGCTTGCACAAGGAGAAATTGATTACTGTCGCACAGTACATTGGACGAGCCTTCTTGCACTTTCAAAATAAGAGAGTCGTCATGGCCGCTTATAATTTTAAGTAAGTTCGGTACATTTATCTTGTACACATATGTCTTATTTTAGCTGTTACTAACTAATTATAATGTTATTAATATGTAGCGATCATTATATCTGTTTACTCATCCACCCTAAAGACGGAACCGTGGTAGTCTTGGATCCTCTCGATTACAAACACAAGCAATACAAAGAATTTCTAACAATCTTACAGTAGTAAGTTATTATGACTCTTGCATTTGTATATGGATGTATTACAAATAAATATCCTCCTTACTCTGAAATGGTATGACATTCATACAGTGCATACCAATACTACAAGTTCAAGGGTGGAGAACAGACACGAACACGGGAGAAGCTGCTAGTACGTACCTATTGGCCGGTAATACTCCACTCACTTTATGTATTCCAATAGTTTCACTAATTGCAAATTATAACTACTTTTTTCTATGATATGTCCTTCAGTGTCACAAGCAACCGCGAGGAACGGTCCTTTGCGGGTATTATGCGTGCGAATTCCTTAGGGTTAATGGACGGTACAGGACTAACGCGGAGGATGTAAGTCTCTATACTATTTACTAGACAGCTCTTGATATTTATGATACTAATATATTGATTAATTTCAATGCATGCAGTTGCCAAGATTAGAATGTCGAACAAGCTTTGACGATACAGGTATCACAAATGTGCAGCGTGATCTGTGCCACTTCATCCACCATGAGTGCTGTCATGTCAAAGGAGATTTCTTCGACCCAGAGGGTGCCCTAGCGGCAAGTGACGAATTCAAGGATCTTCGGGAGTGGAACACTGCTATGCCATAATGTAACTAGATGACGTTATTTGAAGTGACAATGTAAAACAATATTGTAATATATATATTTTGGCAACACTTTTGATTTATGCAATATAAGTAGATTTCTCAGTACCAAATGCTTGATAATATTCCAATATATGTACCTGCAAGAATTTCTAATAAATAATTTAAAAGTAATTTACGGCCAAATTATATTTAAATTTCAATATTTTCTACCTATCTTCGCAGGCGGAAGTTTTCTTTTTTGCAAGCGGACGATTCCTATTTTCGCAGGCGGACCGGACTAGCCAACGTCCGTCTGCGAAAATTATCTTCGCAGGCGGACGGCCTCCCCGCCTGCGAAGATCGGCGATCTTCATAGTCGTTGGCTTACAGGCGGACGGCCGCCCCGCCTGCGAAGACCCTTTTCGGCCGCTTGCGATAATGCTTTTCCTAGTAGTGCAAATTGCAACGGGAAAAGTTATAGCAGACAATATTTCTAGCCTTTAATTTGCAACATTTTTCAACAAAGTGATTATGCGTACGTGCTTCTTATGTCCATATAAATATAATTCCGTGCCTTGTTAATATATCTCTGTTATCCAACTGCCTAGGCCTCTCAAGATTGCAGTACAACAAAAAAAAAAAGTAGGTGAAAGACTGAACGTGCACATCAAAGCTATCTTATATATGAATTTTGTTTTTCAGAAAACTCCAATATATGCTTGATCAGGCACGTATATACAGAGAACGCACACGTTATTTAATTTTCTGAATCTAGTGTTGCCGCTTTCTTTACTGCATACTTTGTAGCTTGCAGAGCATTCTTTTTAACAATATTTGTTCTGAAGTATCATTTTTTTGTTTATCAAATTGGACCACTATACAAAAAGCCATGGAAATAAAGATCAAAATATTTTTGTTGCCTTCCATAACTATGTGTCTGTTAGTAGTTTATGCATTTATTTTCTTGCACGGAAGAATGAAAATGGGTTTAAACAATTAAAGAGTGTGGTCCATATGAATCCACTTTAGCCAACTTTTTTTTCCCCAGATGATGCCTAGATTAGCTGTGAATCACAATAAATATTTCATTCAAAACCACAAGCTAATCACTCATGCTAAAAGTTTTGTGTCCATTCTTGAATCACTATCACTTTAGTCTTAGTAGCTACATATATAAAACCACTCATTGAGGATTGAGAATAATTAAAATTTTCTGCAACAACAATAGAAAGAAAATGGCTTTCATCAAGGTAGTGTTCTCGGTGTTGCTCCCGGTAGTTGTCTCCATGCTCGTGGCAACGACGACAATGGCGGATCACCGTGGCCAGGTGGTTTATACCCCCGGGCAGCTATGCGCTGCCGGACGGGGCTACCCGATGTACCCGCTGCCCCGCTGCCGGGCGCTGGCGAAGCGCCAGTGCGCCGGCGGTGCCGTGGACGAGCAAGTCCGGCAAGACTGCTGCCGGCAGCTCGCCGCCATCGACGACAGCTTCTGTAGGTGCCCCGCGCTGAGCCACATGTTGGTTGGAATGTACAAGGAGCTCGGTGCACCCGCTAAAGGGCAACCCATGGACGAGGTGTTCCCTGGCTGCCGGAGAGGCGACATGAAACGCGTGGCGGCGAGCCTCCCGGCGTTTTGCAATGTAGACATTCCCATTGGCATTGGTGGTGTTTGCTACTGGCTGAGTTATCCTATGAACCCCGCGACTGGCCACTAAGAAATAGCTACCTTGTGTGTCTTGTGTGGTACCTATATAATTAGTGTTTCCTTTTGCTTGGAAACATATATATGTGGTGAATAAATGATGAACTCTGATAGTCTTATGATGATTCGCTAGCCGGCTCGGATTTTTCTTTAACTCCATGGTGCAAGAGGGAATACTGAAATTTATAATTACTAGGCTAAAAAATAAGCAACCAACCAAATATATATTACAGTTAATTTGGAATAAGTTCATCTGAGGTCCCTTAACTTGTCAACGAATCCGATTTTCGTCTTTCAACCGGAAAACCAAATACAACATATCCCTCAACTATTAAAACCGATACAAAATAAGTCCCAAGACGGTTTGATGGCAGCTTATTTTGCAGGAGGAGGAGGAGGAGATAAGGAAGAGAGAGAGAACAGATGCTGTAGGAGAGAGACAATTAGCCTCGGTTGGTATCACCAACCGGGACTAAAGTTTGTTGAGGGTCTAACAGCTATTCAACTAGGAGTAAAGATCAAAAAGTACCCCTAGGTTTTTGAACCGGGACTAAAGAATATCTTTAGTCTCGGTTCCTACTCGAACCGGGACTATGTGATTTTTGTATGACTCAGCAAAGATCACTTCTCCAGTAGCGTACGCTCTAACAGATCACCAAATGCAGGATTTTTACTGGAAAAAGAAACAACTGGCCACCGGATCTGCAAGTTCCTTGGTCACCGCTGCGGGAGCGATGGAAGAATCGATGGGAAATGGCCTCTGCAAAAACCCTAGGCTAGCAGTGAGGAGGAGGAGGAAGAAGTGGTCTCATTTTCACTAATGCGGTGATTTTACTCAGGCAGGTGGAGCGAGATAGCATGGCTTGCTCAGGCAAGATTCATCATGCTAGAATCCTAAGGGTAGCAACCAAACATATGCTAGGCAAGTTACAGGTTTGACCTTAGGCCTGGCTTGTTTGCTCAGGGTCTTACCCTTTAGTGGCCCTAAACAGTGTTTATACAGAGTTTAAAATGCCTGAAGAAAATTTCTTATACATATCAGGCATATTTTAAAGTGCCGAAAAAATGCCTCTACGAGATAAGAATTAACAAAATATGTTGAAAATATATAAAAAGTGTCTCTAGAGTAAAAGGTTTTCTGGGCAGTTTTTAAAGTACAAAGTGCCTCTACGTTATAGAACTCATGATTTTAGAGGTAATTTACAAACTCCTCTAGAAAAGTCCTATATAAGGTTTTTGTTGTAAACTCCTCTAGAAAAGTCCCATATGAGGTTTTTATTGTAGTGACATATGATTTGTAACAAAACTAAAACAACAAATAATTTAAAACGGAGGGAGTAGTTTATTTTACAATGATTAAGATAATTGATATGGTAAAACCAAGATTTAAAAATAAATTAATACATTTCCGATAGATATTAAACTCACTCCCCAAGCTAACAACGCTCTTTTTATTCCTTCGCAAATTGACAAACCTACCACACTTCAGACCTATTTCTTGTGCTCTCCTTACTCTTTACTTAAAACATTTCTATGCAAATTGCAATACGACAAGGTAATAACACACAATATCTCTAGCCTTTAATTTGTAATGTTTTTTTTTTGACAAAGTGATTATGCGTACGTGCTTCCCTATATAATTCCGTGGCTTGTTAAAATAACTCTGTTACTTAGATCCAACTGCCCAGTCCTCTCAAGATTAGAGTACACAATAAAAGGAAATTAAGTGAACGTGCGCGTCTTGTGTTTCAGAATACTCCGACATAATCACACGTTTCTTCACTAAACACACGTTTCTTAATTTTCTGAATCTAGTGTTGCAGCTTTCTTTACTGCATGCTTTTTAGCTTCCAGAGCATTCCTCTTAACAATATTTGTTCTGAAGTATTATCTTTTTTCTTGTTTACCAAATTGGATCAACTATATATAGAAAAAGCCATGCAAATAAAGATCAAAAGATTTTGTTACCTTCCAAAACTATATATCTGTTGGCAGTTTGTGCATTTGTTTTCTTGCATGGAAGAATGAAAATGAAAAGAGTGTGGTCCATATAAAACGAAGGGTTTTTTTTTTTCGAAATGATGCCTAGATTAGCTTTGAACCACAATAAATATTACATGCAAAACCATAAGCTACTCACTCATGATAAAAATTGTGTCCGTTCTGGAATCACTTTAGTATTTGTAGCTACATATAAAACCACCATTGATGTAGCGCTTACCTGTACACCCTCTCATACAATTTGAGACTAACTAAAATTTTCTGCAACACAAAGAAAAACAAAATGGCACCAAACAAGGTAGTGTAATTTCAGGGGTTAACGAATATGGTGTGATTTCCGGGTTTTTCTGACCGAAATTATTTGAATTTTTAACATATTTTGACTGAATTTAAATAAATTTTGACCAAAAAAACCAAAAAATTCAGGGAGATTTATGCTTGCCAGTGGAGAATGAAATTTCAAATTATACTATGGTTCTTAGTGTTGCTCTCGATAGTTGTCTCCATGCTTGTGGCAACGACAACAATGGCAGACCACCACTGCTAGGTGGTGTATACCCCCAGCCAGCTTTGCCAGCCAAGAATAGACTACTCGATGTGTACCCACTCCCACGCTGCCGAACAATGGTGAAGGGCCAGTGCATTGGCGGTGGCGCAGCCGGTAACGTGGATGAGCAAGTCTGGCGAGACTGCTGTAGGCAGCTCGCCACCATCAACAACAACTTATGTAGGTGTCCGGTGCTCAGCCACAAGTTGGTAGGCATGTACAAGGAGCTCGGCACGGCGGCTCACGGGCAACCCATGGACGAGGTATTCCCTGGCTGCCGGAGAGACAACATGAAATGCATGGTGGTGGCGAGCCTCCTGGCATTATGCGGTGTGGATATCCATATCGGCATCGGTGGTGTTTGCTAATGGCTGGGTTATCTTAGGAACCCGGCGACTGGCCACTAGGCTATAGCTACTTTGTGTGGTGTGGTGTAGTTACTGTAATTACTGTTTCCATTTGCATGGAAACGTATGTATGTGGTGAATAAATGATGAACTTCGATGTTCTTATGTTGATTCACTAGCCCGCTCGAATTGTTCTTTAATTCCTTTGTGCAAGAGGGACACTGAAATATATAATATAATTACTAGTCCCTAGGGACAACATGCAATCAGAAAAAGGTAAAAGAAAAAACAGCCAACCATATATAGAGGAAACTTTTAGATAATACGTACCAAGTAAACTTTCAGATAATATGGTTCAGGGGCCTTGAAATAAATTGCATATTTGCCATTGTTGACCCTTTTTTCAGGGACCAATCACCACGATGTACCACCGAGAGCCTTAGGATATGAATATAATCGCTAATAACCGTGATCTAGAAAAACTCCTGACCAAGATGATAATTGAGATCAAAATCGGCTAGCATATTAAATTTAGACAAATTGGGGTAAACACCCATCAGGATTAACAGATTCGCACTTTTACAGCAAGGATGGATGGTTAATTTACAATGCAAACCAATAAAAATGGACGAACTAGAGTAAAAGGTAGTTACAGTACGAAAAAGACGATTCCAAGAGGGCTAGTACGTATTGATTTTTAGGTTAATTGGATCCATGCCATTATAAATATGTTGATTCAGATAAATGCTACTACAATTCATCTATTTGTAACCATGCCATTGAAAATTTACAAAATTGGTACCACCACTGCCATCACATTTTCCATCCATCTCCTTCCTTCTCCATCTTCTTCCTCATCTACTCATGGAACCCACCGGTCAGATCAATCTTCTTCCTCCATCCACCCTTTTCTTCGTGAGGCAAATTGAAACCGAAGTATTAGTCCTTCACGCCAAAGTTAACTATTTTTACAATAACCTTTTTATAGAAACTTTTATTAAAAAAACACATCATTTAGTGGTTCGGTAAGTGTGCGTGCAGAAAACGAGAGAATAGAGGTTGACAACTTGGACATTAGAAGTCACATAAATTGCTTTACATGGTCTCAATGATAAGTATATTTTAATACAAATGAATAAATGCTATAGTAAATAGTATACTGATGAAATGGCGGTATTTTTATAGGCGGGGTGAGTGGAAACACAAAGGGAGAGGTAGTATGCGGGCCCAGTAGTAAGTAAACCCTTCCGGAGCCATCGTTTCGCTGAATAAGCGAAACGACATATTTGCAAACGAAAAGTAATTTGTGAATTAAACTTTTATATACGTGTTCTTAGCGATTTAAAAGCAAAGATTGAAAAATAAACTTCGATGAAAAAATCTTAAAATCAAATCCAAATTTAAGTTTAAAAATTCAAATTTTGTCTGATAAGAATAAGTATAAGCGAAAAGATGAGACCCTTTGTCCGATCGAGTTGAGATTCGTGCAGGTCCCTTTTGGGCCCAATCTTTCACGGCCCATTAAGCAAGTAGGCAGCCCGGCCCTGGAAATGCACTGATGAATTCGTTTTGTTTAATTTGGACGCTAATCCCTTACGCCCACTGACAATTCCCGCGCGCGCCATGCACGACGCCCTCTCCACGTAGCTTCGCTTCCCGGCAAATTCAAAAAAACAAAAAAAGCAACTGTTCGTCTTCCTCCCCACGCTTCCATTTCTCTCCCTTTTTCCAACCATCTAAAATCTCACCACCCCCCCCCCCCCCCAACAACCCAAACCTTGCACTGCTCATCGATTTCTCTTCCTGACGGCGACAATGGCGTCGAAGAACAGCAAGCTCTCGGTGTCGTCGGTGGCGGTGGCGCTGGTGGCGCTGATGGTGGTGGTGGTCGGCGCCGTCGTCGCGGCGGCTGCGGGCGGCGAGGAGTACTACGGCGGCGTCGCGCGCGCGGCGGATGGGTGCGAGCCGGGGCAGGGCGTGGTGCCCAAGGACCCGCTGCCGGGGTGCCGGGCGTACCTGCTGCGGCGGTGCGGCGGCGGCGACCCGCCGGGGGTGCGGGCGCGGTGCTGCCACCAGCTGAGGGAGGTGGCGGCGCGCTGCCGCTGCGACGCGCTGCGCGCCATGGTGGAGGTGCTCGTCGAGGAGGAGGAGGCGCCGCTGGCGTGCAAGAAGGGGGCCATGGCCGCCATCGCCGAGGGGCTCCCCGGGCGCGACGAGTGCGACCTCGACACGCGCGCCGACGACGGCGGATCGCGCCGTTGCCACTTGGTGATTAATTGATATCTGATGCTGTTTAATGATAAATAATAATCGCCATTGTTATATTCTAGATTATTTATTTATCAAACGAATAAAATGATTATGGTCGCGTGCTATGCTTGTTCTTGCAACGGTGTGTAATTATCATGTGATGGGCAATAAAGAGCAGGTGATGAGTAGTATTTCATATTTTTACCTTGTTTGAACAAATTGAAACAACGAACCGCGCACAATTTTCTTTTCTTTATTTTTGAAAGATCAGCACAATTTTCTTTTCAAGTGTAAATTTGATGATAAGTCAGCACATACTACGTACATACAGTGATGAATCAAAAGAAAATCGATTCGCTTTGGTATTGTAACAAAGTAATAACTTGTTAATTATACCTTTCTAGAAGAAAAATAAACTCATTGGTCATGCTTAAACCATGATATTACCTTCTAGGTATACATATACTAATTTAAATGAAACAACTAGGTGTGATGAATGGTCAATCCGCATCCATCACTCACACCATCAACTCCCTGCACACTGTTGTGAAGGGAAAAAATGGAGTTTGTGCGTGGGGGCCAAAGGACCCGCCTGTTGTGCCGAGAATGTATTAATGACAATGTTTCCTTAATTCTGATCTAACGCATGGATATTATACGCTAGTAAATATAAATAATATAGTGACTTTAACCCAAACACTTCAGATCCACTTCTTAGACTTCTACACATGTAGCTCAGTTACTTGGAAGCAAGGTAATTAATATAGTGTTTGCAGTGGCCGTAATGGCGACCGCTATAATGTTGGTAGTCCTCTACTGCTAGCACTACAAAGTTAGCGGACCCAAGATAATACTCCATTCGTTTCTAAATGTTTGACACCGTTGACTTTTTAGCACATGTTTAACCGTTCGTCTTATTTAAAATTTTTTTGAAATATGTAAAACTATATGTACATAAAAGTATATTTAACAATAAATCAAATGATAGGAAAGGAATTAATAATTAATTAATTTTTTTAATAAGATGAATGGTCAAACATGTTTTAAAAAATCAATGGCGTCAAATATTTACAAACGGAGGAAGTATGTTGGAACATACTAGCCGCTATAGCACTCTCTATACACAATCTGCTATCAAGAGATTAATTCACGACCAACCCGCTATATATTATCTATCGCAATGCTTGAAATCCGGAAAATAATCATAGGAGATTAGGAGACCCTGCTTTGAACATAACCCAACTTTTTAAGCAGGGTCACCTGGTCCCCAAATTATTTTCCTAATGACAGTGAGGGACCTAATAAGATCTGGGCCACTGGATCATGACTTTTGGCCTAGTGACAGCAGGCCGACCCAGAGCCTGGCCCAAATTTGGATGAGTCTCTGACCCAACAATCCAGAGAACTTTTCTTTTTTTCTAAAAAAGATCTAGAGAACTTATTAGTACTTATCAATATTCAATTAATTAAGAATAGCTACTGTAGCATAGAGAGGAGATGATGGAATCAACTCAAATCTTATAAGCCGGAACTGGCTCAGGGAAGCAAACACAATATGTATGAGAAATGAAAAAAAAAGACTCACATGCTGTACAAAAATAAATAAGTCAACAAGATATTATTTTTCGAGTAGGACTTGGGCTAGAAAAAAAAAACGATGAAAAAAAAATGCTTGCAACAATTTAAGATTGGGTTTGAAAAGCTCAACAAGCCAATGGCTTATATTGTGACAACTGTTGATGGAGTCAAAGATCGATTATTTTTTTAGTGGTAGATGACATACCAATCGATAATGAGATGTCCGTGTGTGCGTTTATAACGTGAGTGTGCATGTTATGAGCGTGTGTCTGTACTGTATTTCTTTAAAAAAAATGATTAATCTGCATTTACTCAGCAGTAGAACCTTTTCTGTTCAATGTACTGTGCTGACCTGGAGGGCAGGTGTTTTTCGACGAATTGACGATGAGACAAAACTGAAGAATACTTGTATACTTGTCCAAATCCCCTATCTAATCCTCTAACCAAACAGATAAAGACGATTGGATAAACCAATTTGGATGAGGATCTCCTCCAAAATTCCTGGTCAGAGACTCCTATGTGGCAGTCTCCAGTTGGTTCTTGTGCAGGTTGGTCCTAGGTGTTTCTTGAATTTGCTCAGTTGGGTCAGTTTGACAGCGACAGGTGAAAGGCAAGAGTTTGGGGAAAGCAAGCAAGAAACTTGATGGTGTATTTTCTAAAAAAAATTATTTTTCCTGTCTTATCTCTTCTTGATTCCGTCTAAATTTAAGGATCTATCCGTCCATGGTTTGGTAGAATCTGAGGGCGGAAGCAAAGGGGGAAACAGTCCCACTCTGAAGAGTCTGAAGATTCCCCAAGGTCTATTTGGTTTCCAATCTTATTGAAGCAGGAGAAGAATTGTACGTGCTGGGGTGGTGAAACACAAGATCCTGATTCAATCACTGCCATGGGTGAAGGGTTCTTGCAAACTGGAGTCGATTCTGTTGTTGCATGGTGAGGTGAATTTGCCATCTCAGGATTATACAGAGGTAATTGTTCTGTGCCTTGTCAATCCCATCGATTAGAAGATGGAATCAATTATTGGAGAACTAGATAGATCTAACCCTTGTTCACCTCCATGGCATCTTGTCGGCTCACTCATGATTGGGGGGGGGGGGGGGGGGGCAAACTGTTGGGGGTTCCTTGTGGGCTTGCAGGCTAGGTGTTTGTGGAATTGCCTCCCTGGAAGCAGCTGTAGGGAAAGGCTGGAGAGGAGAGGAAATTGAGGGAGAAGAGTGCGAGGATGACGATGTCGTGGGGGCTTGCGGCTCACATTGTGGACATGGTGTGGATGGTGCTCGCCGGCTGGGTTTCAACGTGCCTGGTGATCGCCGGTGAGATAGCCCGCGGCATGCGGAACGGGGAGATCAGCCCCTTTGTTGTTGGCTGAATCCTCCTGGGCCATTCTTCCTTCATTCATTGATGCAGGTGATTGCCTCAGGTCCTTCTCTTGGTTGTTTCTTGTTGCTCAATAGCCATGGATGTTGAGGAACTTGCACAGCACAATGCTTTCCCTTAAAGAAAATAGATTCAGTGCTATCTTTCTCACCTTTTATGTTTTGTACTTTTCACTGCTAAGCAATGTGAGTACTCACTCTGTCCCAATATGTAGCAAGATGGGTCTAATCCCATCCTAGGACTACGAATTTGGACATACCCTAGTCTTAGGATGGGTCTAATCCTATCCTAGGTTGCTACTTATTGGGACGGAGGGAGTATTTCGCTGACAACATTTCAAATTTTCGATTGTTCAATCTAAAATTTCAGCTATTTGTAGTTTGCAATGAGATATAGGTTTGGCTATTCTCTTTTATTAAGAAAGAGGCAGGTTAATCATGATCGTTCAGACATATGCCTCATGGTTCTAAGGCAATAGCCACTTACTAAGCTAAAGTGCCATTTCTTCATAGAGTAGCTTTGACTGACCTGCACAATGAATGAGTGGGAGTAACTGATACAATTTCGCTATACACTTTTAAATTTAAACATGTTGTTGAGTATGTTAATTTTTTGTAGTCATTACAGGTCCCAACAAAAATTCTCAAAATATACAAATTACCTTGACTACTTGAAATCTCCAAACCATCTCAATGACAGCAGCTAGAATAGTACAATGGTCATTAACTTCTTTGTGTATGTTGAAACTTGAAACCATTTTATTTATCGAACATGTGGTTGATTCTTACTAACCTTCCAGAATTAAGTCTCTTTCGCTTGGCACAACTATTCTTAAGCTATCAAATATCACTGCTCATCATGCTTGTTTGTGAATGATGTTTACATGATCAGTTTAACCATATTCCACATGCCTATTTACTACTACTTATCTTCACTTCGTCCCTTATTATGCTTCTGATCATTTGATCTGATTAGTAACAATTTCATTGTTTTTTGCAGATAGATTTTGTCGAATCCAGTCCTTCAATACACATTGCATTATACTGTACAGAGCCCATAAATCTCGATTAGCGTTCCACTGATTGCCTTCAGGCGTAAACAGAAGTGGTAGACTCTAGGTCATTATCTTTTCATTCTTACATTTTTTTTATGTCATGTAATCCTGTAAACATTTGTGCAACTACATATGAACAATCATGTCATCCCTATGTTCTTTTTCACCCTCTCAGCAAGGGTACTGAACTGTTTTGATCGATACTCAAATGAAGTTCCACAGATTATGCTGCATTATCAGGCTATGAACAGGAAATGTAAACTAATTCTTAAAGGAGAGAAAAATCTCTCTTTATTTTTGTGAATTTGTTTTTTTTTCGAAATGAAAGTTCTAGGGAAGAACTCTCGAAGGTACATGTTGCTTGGAGGATTATCATGAGGTCATACTGCAAAGTGCAAATCAGCAGCGTTTTAAAGTTCTGAGTCAGAATATCTGATCTGGGCTACTGATGTGAAAGTGAAACTAGAATGCCAGTAAACAGGGACTCCAAAGTGCTCCAATTGAGGAATCCTTGCCTGACAGACAGACAGCATACAAATTTGATCGATTTGTACGATTTGTACAACATACAATAGTTGCAGATAAGATTGGAAGCTGTAACATTTAGCTACCAAAACCACGTTATTCCTAATTAACGAGGGTGTGATTTAGTCATCATGATAATAAATACACAAGACCAACGAGAGCACTAAAATCTAACATATGGCTTTGTATCAACACTCCGTGTGAGAAGAACAGTTCTCCATTCCACACGATATCAAGTTTTTGGTACAACATGTTTCAAGTGAGAAGTAACAGTAGCAATTAGAAGCTAACATGTTTCTTGTGTACATTTTTTATGCTCAGCAAGCAGAACAATCACTCCCTTTGCCGACTTTTGTGATGGTGGTGGTGGCGATGCTTAGATTTCTTCTTGTCTTTTTTCTTCCTTCTCTCTTTCCTGTCCTTTTTCTCTGAACTCTTTTCCTTCTTCTTCTCTTTTTTCTTGTGGAGTTCAGGGCTGGAAGGTTCTCCATCTAGTGCTTCCCTACGCCAATAGTCATCAGGTGATCTTGATCTCAAAGACACTGGTTTCTCCGGGCCTTGTACTCTTCGTTCCCATTTTTCTTCCACCTGAGTATCAGCATTAGGTTCGTTCTCTTGACTACGAGATGCAACATTAAGGTATGGACCAGGCTCATCCATCCTAGAACCAACGGCCCCTCGACCTCGCTTCACCCTATAGCAGACCAAAGTTACATCTCTGTCAGCAACATTGCAGATAGCTACTTGTGTAAAATGTTGGTAGTAGAACAACCAAAAGATAGAAAATACAGACCTCGAATGAAGAAACTTCTCAATGTCATCGTCCCCTAGACCATCCTCCTGATCCGAATATGAACTGTTATAAGCTATGCCTTCTTCTTCAACCCTTGGACTGGAACTCTGGTTTCTCAAGTCACTTTTGCGTTTTTCACCTCTGGCGTCACCAAGACCTCTACTCCTTTTCATCTTAGACTCCAGTTCAAGTTCCTTCTCTCTGGCACGCCACATTTCATTGACCTCCACAACACGGTTCGCTGTAGGTGAACAGCACATATCATGCCAATTCAGTAAGTAGACAACCAGAACACCGCTGATATCTTTGGACAAGAAAATTAGCAACATGAGATCAGCTATACTTATGAGATTGTCATTACTTGCTATCCAGCGAATCATTCCTAGACAAAGGAAGTAAGTTTTACACGATTGGTTTATATTTTGTGTTTAACCACACCTATAATTCTCCTTTAAGACATGGAACAGACATTTTTTTGGGCAAACAATAAAATTAATATGTTCTATAAAAAATAATTCAATTCCAGATAAAAGTCTACCAAACGATTAACAATGAGTCAAGAAACTAAGAAATTATTATAGTTGCCTTGGATAGCTAATCAATCAACAGGAGGAGGTATCAAGTATGGAATAACGATAAATCGAAACTACGATGCTAACCTTGCTGAACTCCACGAACTGTGGCCGTAAGGAAGCGCGAATTCGGACGGTGCCTTACATTGGGCTTTCGCAGATATGCGTGAACACCTTCCCTGTCAGCCTCCGCCTGCAACCTCCTCGCCTCCTCGAGAAGTAAAGAAGCAAGACGATTCTCCGTCTCCAGATCCATCGTCTCAGGGGCGGATCCAACTTGGGACATTTGGGGGTTCAGATGAACCCCCAATACTGTTACTCTTGTATCAAAAGGTTGAGGCTCTCTCTGAAATTAAGAGATGAGCTTCTTCCAGATCTACAAGAGAAAGCTAGGGTTAACGAACGCACACAAAGCGAATTCCAGACAAAAGTAGGGGTGGGAGAGAGAGAGAGATGAATCCATGAATCAGAAGGAGGATGTGGATGGATGCTGCTCACCTGCAGGATCCCCTCCCCTCCGCTGCTTTGCTCGAGCAGATGGGGATCGGCGCCTCTCCCTCCCCCTGTTCTTGTCGCAAGGAGCGGAGGAGACGGGGGATTTCTCTTCTCCTTTTTACGCCGAAGGGGGGAGAGACTCGACTACGGATTCGGATTCGGAGTCAGAGGGAGGGAAATAGCGGGGAGATGGAGCGCACGATCTGCATCGGACGGCAACCAGCGAGGTTAGCAAAAACGAGCGGGCTCACCTGGCCCACGGCGACAAAATCCGGCCCATAGAAGCACTGTCTCCCTCGGCGCAGGTTCGGTACTTCGGTTGGAGGGAGGCTGCCCATGGTAATCGTGCCCGTTTGCCCATTTACCCTTAGATAAAAGCCCTATTATCACGGCCGCTATGTTTGCATAAAGGAGTTCTTTGCTGTATTGGAGAGGAGGGGGGAGGGAGGGGTGAAATAGGAGAGGCGAAGGAGGAAGACGACGACTCAGAGAGAGAACGGGAATGGATAAGATCGAATCAAGGGGTGAAAATAGGACGGGTAAGATCGAATCAAGGGGTGAAAACGGGACATGTATTTCCCGTCTGTCCATATTAATCTGTAATAATTTCAGGGTAAAATAATCTACCCATATGTTTACATAGGTATCGGAGCCGAATCCAGGTATTTCTTTTTGGCGGATACAAAATCGTATTGAAAAAATGATATCTTGAATCATCATTTTATATACTATTTAAATTTAAATTATCATAAATCACATCAACTTACTTTAGTTTATGTTGTCTAGCTATGTTACGCATTATTTTTTACTTATATTATTATAATACTAAACTCCTACAATAACACGTAGGGTTTCACCTAGTTTCTAAAATAAAAGCATTTCTACGGTGATATTTTTAGATTGGGGTGCTTGTAAATTACTATCTTATTTTTAAAATATAAAAATCTAGGATATAACAGAATGCTTTCTCGTTTTACGAATCTGATTCTAATTTCGCGAGGATATTTTAGGACGGATGGAGTTCATTTCCTGGTTTTTCTGTTGAGGAAAAGATCGCCCCTTATCCGGAAAACCCGCTCTCACACCGCCCCAACGGTAAAGCTTCTCTCCCCCCCTCCACCACCCGCCGCGATGTCTTCCGCTCCGCCGCCGCCGCGGTCGCCGGCTGCGACGCCCGACGCGGCGGCGCCAGCGTCACCGGCCCGGACGCGCGTGGTCCGCGCGCCCCCACGGCCGCCGCGGCCGCGGCTGGCGCACCCGGGCGCCGCGCCGCCGGGGTGGGCGGAGCGCCGCCCCGCCGTGTCCGTGGACTACGACCGGGGCCGGCGCGAGGCCCGCGCCGAGGTGGAGGGCGTGGGCGCCGCTTCGCTCCCCGCGCGCCACCGCCTGCGCGTGGAGGGGAGCCGGTGGCAGCGGGACTGGAAGGTGTCGGAGGCCGCCGCGCGCGTGCTCGCGCTCCCGCGCGCCGAGGCCCGCGCCGTCGACGCCGTGCTCAACTGCTGGGCCGGCCGCTTCGCCCGCCGCAACTTCCCTCTCCTCATCCGCGTAAGGCCATCATCCCCACGCTCTGTAGCATTTCATGAATTGAAAATTGCTGATGATATACATCAATGTGGCTGCCATGGTTGCCTTGCGTGGAGGCACTAATGACAAACTGGTTTTGGGGCCAAAATGTTATCGATTGCTTGAAATTACAAAAATCATGAACAATTCAATCGATCTAGCTGTGTTGTTATGGTAGTACCAGCTGCACATGCAAATTTTGTAGACGAGGCTCAAATCTCTCGATTTGCTAACATAAAACTAGCCTTTTCAGGTAATAACGCGCTTACACATGTTGTATCACTTGTAGGAGATCACAATTTCTGGGAATTTACAGCATGCTGTCCATGTGTTCTGCTGGATGAAAAATCAGGATAACTACTGTGCTCGTAACGACATTTATGGCATGATGATACGACTATATGCGAGGCATAACCAGGTTGATCAGGCACGTGGCCTGTTCTTTGAGATGCAGGAATGGCGGTATGAATGTTATAACATATATTTCTGACATAAGGTTTTAATTTGGCTTCTGCGTTCCTTCAACCATCAAAAAGAGTTTTGCCTGATATTACTAAAAAAATTTATCACCTCATAATTGAGTAATTGTCTCGTCGGTAACTTGTCTATATACAAATAACATGTTTGTGTTATGGTTCAATTTGTTTGAGTTTGCAAATCCAAAATCTTCCCAGATCATCTAGGGAACAGCGCAAGTGATGGTTGCTGATCTCGCATGTAGGAAATTTATACTTTATCATAATAAACTGTAATATGTGTAATACTAAGTGCAATTTCCATGTGGTTGCTATTTCTATATTTTGTTTTCCACTACTGTGATAAGAAATATATCATTTTTCATTATCTGTCATTTCCTTCTCTTTTTTTTTTTGGACAAAATACTGACATTTATAACCTTAGGTGTAAACCTGATGCTGATATATACAATTCCCTCATCCATGCTCATTCTCGAGCTGGTCAATGGCGTTGGGCCATCAACATTATGGAAGATATGCTTCGTGCTGCTGTCAGTATCATTCCTTGAAACATAAACCCTATATTCTTGCTTTCTCATCTTGCAAATGCCTAAGTTGATGTGTTTGTGTGTTTTATTTTTCGAAGTAATACAAAACATTAACTTTTGTGCTTTTAACCTTATTCATTTTAGATAAATAATTTTGGAAATGCTTCTTCTTTACAATGAGTACAATGCGTTTATTGCTTTCCTCATTTCGCTATAACCATTCTTGATATTGAGCTAATTTTTCATCTATAAACCCAATAGGGTCCTTCTGTTTTCTACTATACATAGTAATGGCTATGGTAGATTTAGTGCACCAAAGAAAATAATGAAGAGTTAAAAAATAACAGGAAAAACATGTTTTGCAACTACCAGAGGTTCAGAGCGAGAAATGCAATCCTGTTTTAAGGGAGTTTGTTGAGTAAGGTAAAATTGCTTGATTAAGGGTTGAAGTTTTTCTCTCTAAAATATGGGTTGAATTTGAAGAGAATCTTGGAACCATATAAAGTTTTTGGCTCCATGCACTCACTTTGTGCAAGGACACATCACTGTTGATTGCCTCATCAGTCCTTACGTTATTGAAATGCAAAGAGACTATTAGAAAACCAGCAAAGTTTATATATTTCATTTTTTTAGTTTAGTTGCCATAATTGTTTATTAAAGAAGGTTGTGTTCCGGACTTTTGCTGCAGATACCTCCTACCCGGACTACGTATAATAATGTGATAAATGCATGTGGGGCTGCTGGCAACTGGAAAAAAGCTTTAGAACTGTGTAAGAAAATGACAGAAAATGGTGTGGGACCAGATTTGGTTACACACAACATTGTCTTGTCTGCTCTCAAGAATGGAGCTCAGTACTCAAAAGCAATATCTTATTTTGAAATAATGAAAGGAGCAAATGTCACCTCTGATACTTTCACGTTAAATATTATCATCCATTGCCTTGTAAAGATTGGACAGTGTGGGGAAGCTATTGAATTGTTTAACTCAATGAGGGAGAGAAGAACCAAATGTCCTCCAGATGTTGTTACATATACTAGCATCATGCATTCTTATTGTATTTATGGGCAAGTTGAAAATTGCAAAGCAATCTTTGATTTGATGGTTGCTGAAGGAGTGAAGCCTAATATTGTAGCATATAATTCGCTTTTGGGTGCATATGCCTCACGAGGTATGCATAGAGAGGCCTTGGCAATTTTTAATTTAATAAAGAAAAATGGGTTACGACCTGATATAGTTTCGTATACCTCCTTACTGAATGCATATGGTAGATCTGCACAGCCTGAGAAGGCTAGGGAGGTCTTTAACAAGATGAAGAAGAACTCATGCAAACCAAATAAAGTCAGTTACAATGCACTTATTGATGCCTATGGGTCTGCGGGAATGTTGAAGGAAGCTGTTGGCTTGCTGCATGAAATGGAGAAAGATGGCATTCAGCCAGATGTTGTTTCCATAAGTACTCTGTTGGCTGCCTGCGGTCGCTGCAGGCAGATAACAAGAATTGAGACAATTCTTGAAGCAGCTAGGTCCCGAGGTATTGATCTAAATACAGTTGCTTACAACTCCGGCATTAAAAGTTATTTAAGTTTTGGAGATTATGAGAAAGCTTTGGAGTTGTATACATCAATGAGGGAGAGCAATGTGAAACCAGATGCTGTAACCTACAATATACTCATCAGTGGATCTAGTAAATTAGGAAAGTATACGGAATCTTTGAGATTTTTTGAGGACATGGTGGACTCCAAGGTTTCTTCAACCAAGGAGGTTTACTCTTCATTGATTTATTCGTATATCAAACAGGCAAGTGTTGCTCTTATTTTCTCTGTTGTTTACTCTAAAAAGTTTGCTATCCTAACAATGATTTGTATTCAGGGCAAACTATCTGAAGCAGAATCTACTTTCAGTTCTATGAAAAAATCAGGCTGTTTTCCTGATGTTTTGACATATACTACATTGATCCAAGCCTATAATGCTGGTGGTAATATTCTTTTGTTATTATGATTAATTGATTTAGCTTCTCAAGAATTTAAACTGATCTTTTAGTTCTTATGGACCATAAGGTGGTTGGAAGAGAGCTTGGGACCTGTTCAAAGAGATGGAAGTAAATGGTATTCCACCAGATGCCATTATATGCTCATCTCTCATGGAAGCATTCAATAAGGGTGGCGAACCTGAAAGAGTCCTTCAATTGATGGAATTCATGAAGAAAAAATCCATCCCGTTGAACCAAAAATCTTATTTTGAGATAATAGCTTCATGCACCATGTACGTTTACTGATGTCTTAAGTCGAACAGGCAATTCTAAATTGGTAACTTAGGTCTATTATTATTATCTGAGCAGTGTGCAACATCTGCTGATCTAGTAACACTATAAATATGCATTCACACTTGCTTTGGTATCATCGTGTTTATGGCTTTTAGGTGTACATGACTCAGTCATCTTACCTGTCATGTGCAGCTTTGCTTTAGGATTATTTTAATCAGGTGACCATTTGAGTCACTTACAAACATCTGCTTGTTCTTCTTAAGCAACCATGCGATATAAAAGATAAGTTTTTAATAGGTAAAAACAGTATGAAGTTTCAAGTTTATTAAGATAGCAGGGTGGAATGTTCTGTGTAGTGTTAATTCGATTCCAGTAATTGACAACTTGAATCAATTGAATGTTGGGGTTACTGTATTGGCAATCTACATTTGTTCGCTTACACAATTCGGATTGTAGCTCATTGATAATTTCATTTTCCTTGATGGGCTACAGCAACTTGCCAGTGAGCCTCTGCTCCTTTCATTATCACTGTTTGTAGGTTTAGATAATCAGGCTATCATGGCATGCTGCCATGCTTTCATCATGTAACTTGTATTGGACTTGTGATATATTGGTGGTTTCAAGTGTTGAGCAGAAACAAATTCCTTTTTACCGCACACATCTGGTGTTATGTTGTTTACAAGCTTTTGATGCATTGAATAACTCAATATTCTATTTTGTTCTGCTTCCTCATAACAGGATACGTGACTGGAAAACAGCAAGTGAGATGATTGAATATTTGGATTCTTCGCTCTCATCCATTTCTGTTGGAACACTAAACCATGTTTTAAATTTTCTTGGAAAATGTGGGAAGACAGAGAACATGATGAAGGTATAGTTGGCCTTCAGAACATAGTTGTCATTTCAGAACATGCTTCATTACTCTGTTTTTGGTGTGGTAGTTTATAGTTTTAGTGGATATCTTTCTAAGAACATAGTTGTCATTCCAGTAATTTTAGTGGATATCTTTCTAAGACCCAAAGAAAGATATCCAACTTCTGCAGTGCAATGGATATACATGCTTCATTACTCTGTTTTTGGTGTGGTATGGTTTTTAGTTTTAGTGGATATCTTTCTTTTTAATGCAAAGGGATGCAGTTCTCCTACATGTTCAGGGGGGAAAAAAACTATCGATCTGTTCATTTCTATAAAAGTGAAGTCCATATTTGGTTAGATATGGAACTAACGGCCTTGCCACACTGACACAATACAATATATTTCTCCCAAACATATAATCATTTAATATGTTTGTCCTCAGCATAATCAAATAGATTTATAGGATTCTCCTTTTCAGAGGAGTTGACAAATATTTTATGATTTCATCTACTCTTACTTATTTGGCAGTGAATTGTTTTTCTTGAATGTCTGAAGGTTCAAGTATCAATGTACTACCAGTAATTCCATACTTCCATGTACCACCTATATTTTCCTGCTGCTCCTTGTCCAAAATAAAAATGGATTTAGCAATAAGAACAATTTTATCTTGACTAGTTTTAAATCATCAGTTCATCACCTTCTCACATCAATACACATTGATACTTGAGGAAGCCATGGAATCACAAACATGCCACTACACTTGTAAGAGAAATAATGATCTGCATTTACAGTTCTGTTTCCCTACATTAATTATTTGATTCTCTTATGCAGCTGTTTTACAAGATGGTGACTTCATGTTCTACTGTGGGTCTTTCTACTTATGCGGTTGTTCTTAGAAATCTCCTAGTTGTTGGGAAATGGAGAAAGTATATTGAGGTAACAAGGCCCCTTCTCATTTTTACATCATCTGATCATCTCAGAATACCGCTTGCAACAAGCTAGATTCAAGAGTAATAGGTCAAAACCTGATATTTATTTGAGCTTTATTTTTTGTGCCTGTAGGTTTTGCAGTGGATGGAGGACTCTGGAGTTCATCCAACACTATATATGTTTCAAAATGTCCTTCCCTATATCTGGAGAGAAAATGGCATGGATTTTGCTGCTACTATGCAAGAAAAAATAAGTATGATACGTCCTACTCTAATTATCATTTCAAGAAGACTATGAATTTATCATGCAATAATATAATCCCTCCGTTTCATATTATAAGTCGTTTGACTTTTTCCTTAGTCAAAGTTTCTTAAGTTTGACCAAGTTTATAGAAAAGATTAGCAACATTTATAACACCAAATTAGTTTCATTAAATTTAACATTGAATATATTTTGATAATATGTTTGTTTTGTATTGAAAATGTTAGGATATTTTTCTATAAACTTGATCAAACTTAAGGAACTTTGATTAAGAAAAAAAGTCAAACGACTTATAATATGAAATGGAGGGAATATTTTGGTATCTCTTATTTTGTTTCTGTTTTGATGAGCTTGCATATATTACGAGCCCCATCGGTTGCCCTAATAAGCCAAAGCCAAAATTTGAATTTTCAAACTTAATTTTGAAGTTGATTTTAAAATATTTTCAACGTAGTTCTTTTTTAGTATTGGCTTTTAAGTTGTTAAGAACACATATATAAAAGTTTTACCTATAAGTTAGTTTTTATTCTCTAATAAGCCGTTTTGGCTTATTAGGGAATATGGGCAACCGATGGGACCTACATGAATCATTGTTATGGATGACTCATTTGAGCTTAATCACACCAGGTTCATTGAGAGACAAGCAAACGTGAGCTCTCGATGTTTACATCTCTCTGATGTTAAGCAGGAAATACCTCGGCTTTAAACACAGGTCTTCCAACACAGAAACGCCTGCCTCCTTCAGTGGTAACACATATGTGCTGACAAAAAGAAATTTATGGTATGAGAACTGTTCTGTTTTTCTCTCTTTGCCTTCTTCTTTTTCTTTCTTTTTCGCTTTTCTATTCTTAAATCAAAGTTCAAACAATTCTAGGTGTTATTTTTTCTGAAATTTCTGGTTATCGCCCAGAATCTATTTCCAAAATGAAACTGGGAATCCCTGGTTTGAAGTCCATTAGGCCCATAACTGAAATTGTTGGAAAATTCCTTACGTGTCACTAGAAATTTCCAGATCCTGAAACCAAATCCATGTTTTGAGAAAACTGGCGGTTCCCGAACTAGAACCCAAAGGAAAAGGATGCCACCAGATTTTTGCTTCTCCCATATATGGCACTCCTTTGTGAACCTATGCCGGAATATGCATCGGGCGGTAACACAGTTTGGCCCAAACGTACTACTTGTCATTTTTATTCCAAGTGGCACCTCTACTCTCCATCTGATTACACATAAACCCAAAGAAAGAAGGAAACTCTACATCCGTAATTGACACATCCCATTTCTTATAAAGGATGGCAAGGTGGCATTCACACATCCAAAGGGAAGCACCTAGAACAGGGCAGTATGAGGATTGCATCTCTCCACCTCTAATGCTCATCTGGGTGATCGTGTCGCTGGTTAAGGTTTGATATCCATCAATCTGGCAAAAGTTTGCATTTCTTGCCACCTCAACATAGGATGGGCAACGAGTGCGTAACCGCACCTCTGATATGCTCATCTGGGGTGGTCGAGCCACTGCTTTGATAATTGATATGCATCATTCTGGGAAAACTTTGCATTTCTTGCCACCTCCATGTAGGTTGGGTAATGCCTGTGCAGCCTCACCTCCACTGCGTACATCCCAGTGTGGCTGTTGCAGTTCTGGTCCACAAGCCTATACTATGGGCTTGGTGCCTCCTCATTGCTGTCACGAGTGCATAACAGGAGTGAGCATGCACAAGGTGTCCTGGCGCTGTTTCCACTCCGTGGTCAGTTACGGGTGAAGTTGTGAAAAACAGTGCCCCTGGTAATTCCTGACCGACTGGCTATAGTTCATGATTTGTTACCGACCGAACGGTAATCGTTCATGATTTGTTACTGATAGAAATGGAAATGGTTACTGACAGACACAAAAATGGAAATGGTAAAAAAAAAGAGTAAAATCCATCACCGGTCCCTAAACTTGTACCGCTGTGTCATCCCGGTCCTTAAACTCGCAAATCGACCGTTCAAATCCTCAAACTTGTTCGACTGTGTCATCTCGGTTCCTAAACTTGCAGATCACTCATTTAGGTTCTCCAACTTGTTCAGTTGTGTCACCCCGGTCCCTAAACTTGGATTTGAATATCATCTGGATCAAATAGGACGGTCTAAAGACTTTATATTTAAAAATAATTCATAAATTTTTCATGTGAATTCTAATGAAGACAAACTTTATATCAAACTTGTAGCCCTCGACGTGATCTACAACTTTGTAGTTGATTTTTTTTTATTTTAAGTCATTTTTTGTCCCAAAATGTAATTGTGAAATTAAAATTTCAAAATCTATAAACATGCAACAATATTTTGAGACCCTAAATGGTTTTAATTCAAAAACTTTTCAACTAAAAAGTTGTAGGTCACGTCGAGGGCTACAATTTTGATATAAAGTTTGTCTTCATTAGAGTTCACATGAAAAAGTTATGAATTATTTTTTGATATAAAGTTTTTAGACCGTCCTGTTTAGGGACCGAGGTGACATAACTGAGCAAGTTGGAGGACCTAAACGAGTGATCTGCAAGTTTAGGGACCAGGATGACATAGTCGAATAAGTTTGAGGACCTGAACGGTCGATTTGCGAGTTTAAGGACCGGGATGACACAGCGGTACAAGTTTAGGGACCGGTGATGGACTTTACTCTAAAAATAGAAACAGAAATGGAAATGATTTTGTTGTTTTACCAACCGTTTCCTTGGTTATCGTATTTTCGAGGAAATTACCCTTTTTATAATATGGTAATTACCCTTTTTCTAAATACACAGTACTTGTGTCTCATGTCTCCGTTTGGCCCATAGCATAAATTGTTCTTTTTATGTTCTTGACTTCTTGTCTCTAATGATTTCAGATGAGCTACCACCATCATGAGTGAAGAACAGAGTATGTCGTTAAGTTTGTCTAATACAGGATGGGGGCATAAATCATCATTGCGTTCCTCAGTACAGCATGGCCAATGTCCACAGCATGTTTTGGCATAAGATTTGGAAATAGTACCATAAATGGGAGAAACAAAATTCAAGGGCATATTCCCAGTGGCACAAGGGAGATTCCCTCCAGCCTCCAGGTAGATAATGAGTTTGTACTTTGTTAAGATCTACTGAAGCGTTGTTTTGGTGCTTCAAGAATGAGGTTGACACTTGTGGATGATATAGCTTGTAGGTAGCTAATACAGTGCATATATATTCTCTTTGAGGGTACATAGACAGTGTGGATGACAAATGGAATATGAAAGAAAAATGCAAAGCGTTTCTCATCCGCTCTTTTGCAGCTCACCCCGCCTTCCCATTTGTCTCTACAGAACGACTAATTCATCACATATGAACACAATGTAATTGAGCATATAATTAAGTAAACTCTGAAAAGTAGCCCGGAAACTGCATCTCATTTTGATGATTCAAGGGGAGAAGGTCAAGATGTGCTTCATAGGGGAAATGGGGAATTTTGATTATCAAGGGGAGAAGGCAAGGGTGGAGACGAACTGCATACCTTCAAACAGTATATAAAATTCTGAACGTTTGCATGATCATATTTTGCGTCTCCAGGCTCCAGCAAACTAAGCTAAACGATTCATGCTCAAGTTGGCTTTCATGCATTAGTGGTTAATAAAGCAAATGTGTATTGCGAAAGCTGTATTATTATGTGGCATATTTGGTCTTTGAGATATGCACTTCTCTACTACTTTAAAATACAGTTGTTCTCCTTTCTCCGTGAAAGTTGTGATTTTATGTGGCATTTTTGGTATTGCCATATCAGCTGGCCCTACTAGTTAGAGTGGTTTCTTCCTCCTCCCTCTCTCTTTCGACTCGCTCACCCCTCACCGAGCTTGAGGCCGCCATGGCTCACTCTTTTGACTCCCTCCCTCACCGAGCTTGAGTCGGCCATAGAGATCTCGCCATGCTCGAGAGAAGAGGGAGGTTGGCGGTGGCCATGACGAGGTTGACAGTGAGATTGATGCGGTGCCCACCCCCTTGGCCATGCTCAAGGGAAGAGGGAGGTTGGTGACAAGCTTGACGCGGAGCCTGCTCCCTTGGCCGTGATTGGTGAAGGGGCTGTTAGCAAGCTCGAAGAAGAGGGTTCGCCAAGCACATAGAAGACGGGGTTATTGGCAAGCTCTGGTGAGGGTTGATGGATGCGGATCGACCCAACTGTATCTTGATCTGGCTACGGCTAGTTGAAATTTGGAGGTATCTCTCCTCCCCGATGTCGACGAGAGTACGAGACCAAGGTGTGGTTCTTCAATTCTCTCCTCCATGAAGCCTTTGCCGTCCCCTCCTACCCAAGCTCCACCACTACCGCCGTCGGCACTCTCCTCGTCAAGCTCAGGGAGCTCGTAGATGGCTTCCTATCCAAGCGCCACTACCACCCTAGACCCAGCACCCCCACCCCCTCCCCCTCCTTGCCGAGGTTAAAGAGACGGGTGCCGGCAGCACGGCCTTGATCCCAAGATGAACTCGACGGAGGAGTCGATGCCGCAGGGCCTCCACCACCAAGAGTTTGTCGTCGCCCGCGCCATCTTCACCTCCAACTCGAGCTTGTTGAGCAGTGTTACTGCCAACGGCGGCGAAATAGCGTGGAGCTCCAAGCCGAGAGGGTGGGGGTCTCTCCACGGATGGAGCTCGCTGTCAACTTTAACTGCTCCACGAAGAGAGGGGAGAGCGAGTTAGAGGGGAAGGAAGAAGAAGAGGGGTGGAATGGAACTGACTAATGGGACACTTCCCTTTGCTGATGTGGATCTTTTTAAAATGTGGCATCCAAAGTGATGTCCAGCTATACCAAAACCATCCTAAAACCTCTAAAGGATGTAAATGTCTGGTTTTGATAGTTTGAGTGTGTTAGAAACCAATTTTATAGTTCGAGGGTGTGTTTTTAACAAAGCAAAAAGTTGAAGGGTGTTAAATAGACTTATCCCTACTCTAAATTCCATTGCATTGCAATGCATAGACATCTACCTAATTGAAAAGTAAAACTCAAAAAGCAACCAGAATTAGCCACATGATTTGTCAAAAAATAGCAGTTGGATTCACAAAATGACAAAATAGCAAGGAAGAATCCTAGCCATTGAAATGAGGAATCTTCTAGAAGTAGTAAAATATAGAGAGAAGGAAGAGTTTGAGCCACTCATTACCTCTTATTGGTTATCTCATGTTGGCCTCCCAAATAGGCCTAGGGCTGGCTTAGCCTGGCCAATCAACCCAAACGGTCCTTAGACTAGATAACCAATTAAATAATTTCATAAGAGGGAAAAATTATTCTACATATAACACTTTAAATCAGTCAGCAACAATCAAAACAAAGATATAGAAAAAAAAAGTTAACATCTCAAACAAATCTTATAACATAGTTACAATTATGATGTGCAATTTTACTTAAATGTAGACCCAGGATATTTGGAATCCGAGGTAGTAGTGAAATTTAATTTTGATTCTTACAATAATATCACAAGTTTAGCGTAATTATAGTAAATTGTTTATTTTCATTACAATATGTATTTATTACATATCAAAACAACATAGTATTTGTATTGAACATGCACTTCCGACCAAATACTTTTTTCGAATATTAAATCAAGTAAAGCAGGAAACAACACGAATAAGATGAATATAAACCCTGAGTCTATACATTAATTATTGATTTAGCTGAATGGTGGAAAATTTATTGTTAATTGTAATAGCAGCTAATAGATAGGAAGGTTATAGTCGCGCGAACGTGCGACTAGTTGCATGCAAAACCTTCTTAAACTACATGGAAGAGATTAACAGTAAAGAAACATGAATAGTGTGTCATGTACAGCAAGTAATTAAGTGACATGAAGAACATACAGTTGCATGCAAACACTGCACGCATGATCTATTGGATTTTCTTCCAGCGAGTGATGAATACATTGCCATATATAAATATCAGTGATGAATACATGCTTTGGCTAGGTTATTAGCTTTGGCTCGTATTAGATAGTATTGATGAGAATACATATTTATCCACTGAAAAAGAAACATTAATTCATGATGGAATATTGGAGGAAAGCAAGAGGGGTTTCTTACCCACCAGATTTTGAAGAAAATATGTGAAGATAGATTGAACAGATATTCATGTCAATTTTGTTATGGTTTAACAAACCTGCGAGTGGGATAGTTATGATAGAATTTTCTGATATGGTTCATATGACAGTTTTATAAAAAAACATTCGATCACTCCATATTTTCATTAAGAAGCAATCGCTCTGTATGGGGGAGAAATAATATATCTACATTTTTCATTAAGAAGAAATCTCTCTGTACAGGGAGGAAAATTATATATAGTATTTAAATGATTGGTGTGATTTTTTTATTATTTAAACCGACCCAATTATATCATTTTTAGTGTTTTAAGTAGTGGGCTTTAGGTTTTAAATATTAAATAGTACTATAAGTTGTAACTTTTTATGTCTCATAATTGTAATTTCATCGGAGGATGATATACTCAAACAAATATTATCTTCATTGTCCGCATAACCTACAAATTGTGAGCATATTATGTCCAATTCTATTTATCCTCAATATTGGTTGGGTTCTGATTGAATAAAATTTAATGGACAATGTAATTGAGTATACACGTATACTATGATATGTGTAAAAAAACACATCTCATTTGTTATGACTAAGGTGTATTTCATTTGATGGATTATATTCTATGTTTATCTCATTTGTTATGACTAAGGTGTATTTCATTTGATGTATTATATTCTATGTTTTGTTGGAGGGATGTTGTTGAATGGAATAGGACAATGTGTTGGATGGGGGTTAGGATAGAATAACTACACTTATTGATTGTTTGATCAAATCTACGGTTCGATTGATCAATTTATTTGGTTGATAATATTGTAAAAGATGACCCAGAATGGTTGGGTAAAATTTATGTTATTTCTAATTTTCATAGAGATGTTGGTACGTAAGTAAATCATAATCTTCCTCGATAATATTTCATTGCATGTCCTTATCTTCTTGTTCATATTTTATTTTCTCTTTTTTATTATCTTGTTTTTATTTGTTTCTATTGGTTTTGTTTCCATTTCTACCGGATTGGGCCAACCTTGTGTAGGTGCATCTCATTCATTGTTTTGTTTTGTCAATTAAATAATATATCTTCACATATATTGCGTCTCCAGCATATATTGTTACTTGCCAAAGAACCACGCTCCAAAACCATATTATTTATATGGAACGGAACTATACACATCTTTGGAGTTATGAGAATATTAGTGAAACATATATGCATCTGTTCTTTTTAATTGAGCATTTTGGACATTGACACCGTCTCAAATGCATGTGTTTTGCCATTATTTTTTTATAACAGTATATTTATAAAAATAACGAACATATAACCATGTGAATATTTTTTTCATGATAAATCTATCAATACCATTTTTGTGTATTAAATTCTAATACTTATGTATGCTTAATTTAATATATCAAGGTTTGACTAGACGCATTCTATAATGTCATCTATGTGATAACGGAGGTAATATCTTGCTGTCTCCAAACACATATAATCCCGTTTATGCATCCAAACAGTAGGATGTCAAGAAAGCATGAACTGGATAGTTCTCCATTCATCTCGTCGGTCCATCCAATCAACCAAAGATAGTACGAGGGTGGGATACCTTTAGAAAAAACAAAAAGGGCAGAGAAGGGTAGAGATCAATTGGCGCGCTAAAAAAAACATAAAAATTGAAACATGTTACATGCATGATCGTTCTGCATTTCAATAAAGTAAGCTAGCTAATGATTCATGCGGGAGTAGCTAGCGTTCATGCGTATGTGATTTATGAAGCAAATAAGTGGGCAAGGAACATAAACATGATGCCATAGCAATTAAATGACAGTGATAGTATATAGTGGCATCATACAGCTAACTTTGCACACATGATGTGTTTATGTCGTACCAGTGATATATAGGAGTGCTAGTTTTAGGCATGATTGAAATAATATGGGTTAGTTATACCGCAAAAGATCATTATTAAATGTGATAAAATATTGGAGAAAAACAAGAGGGTTGCTTACTAAACTGTTAAATCTGTTTCTTATCAATAGTCATGTGGCTTACAAATCAATGTTATAGATGAATGTATACTATATATTGAATGAGGCACAAATTTTTTATTTGAGCCTGTTTATTTGAGAAGGAAAACTAGAGATGATGGTTAAAGATAGGAAGACAGAGAAATCAATGTTATAGATGAATGTATACTATATATATTGAATGAGGCACAAATTTTTTATTTGAGCCTGTTGATTTG